CGGCCGAGCGGGCAAAGCCGAGGTGAGCGGCCGGGCCGGCCGGGGAGGGGCGGTGGAGCGGGGCCGGGCGGCCCCAGGTGCTGCGAGGCGCCTGCGAGGGAGAGGCGGGCAGGGCTGCAGCCCCGGGGAAGCCGGGAGAGCTGCCCCGAGCCGGGCCTTCCCTCGCCGGCAGCGGCGCATCCCGCTCCGCGTCCTGCCGGGATGCTGCGGGCGGGGCACGGGCCGGGTCCCCGCGGGGCTCCGGGGAGCGCAGCCGAGCGCGGGGAGGCGGCAGCCGCGTCCTGCGGGAGGGATGAGGCGACCCCCGGCATCCGCAGCCCTGGGGACCCGCAGCCCTGGGGATCCGGAGCCCCGAGCTGCGGCAGCGCATTGAACTGCCGGGCTGTGATTTGAGGGAGACGATTTACATTAAAGGGAGAACGTGGAGAGAGCCAGGAACAACTTGGAATGGGTCCTCGCATATTTCTGTGGTTATTTTTGGAGTACCGTCATATGGCAGGAGGTGGGCTTTGGAGGTATCCTTGAGCTCAGCATTTTCTCCACAGGCTGGTTACCCGGGAGATTGTACTAGAGGACCTGCGTGGCCCTTTCCCCATCAGTGGTTTCTGTATTTCCCATCACTTTTCTCTGGCTCTTTCCCGGGGTATTGTTCACTCTGGCGTGCCCGGCCCTCAGCCTGTCTCGGTGGGGACTCTCCTGTGGGCAAACAATGGTCTGGGTGTGCTGGCTGGGCAGTCTCAGTGTGCTGCAGGCGATGGCAAAGCTGTGCTTCATTCAGCTGTGGATGGTGTGAGGTGACTCCTGATCAGCCCCTTCTCCATTCCTGTGGATGAGGTGTGGCTTCTCCAGCATCCCCGGAGAGACCAGCCCATGCATCCGTCTCCCTCCTGCACTCCGCTGCCACTTTCCCTCCAGCTTTCTCATGCCTCACTCGTCCAAAGGGATTTTTGCTCTAGAAACCTCAGTTGTTACTCTGGGCTGTTCCTTGTGGGTCTCCACATGCACGGGAGGGCTCTGGCTGTGGCAGGCCCCTTGGACCACGGCTGGAGAATGGCTCTGGTGGCCTTCAGCTGTGTGTCCTTGCTGCCATCGGCCGAGTTTGGAACTGAGGGAGGGCTGCCTGGCTTTGGGTGATGGTCCTTGCAAGAAGGGAATGAATGACTTTCTAGTGATGTTGGTTTAGAGTCTGGCTTGGCAGGCACGGAGCCTGTCCGTGGGGCTCCCCGGGGTGCTCAGAGCCGTGCTCTCCATGAGAACCTGTCTCTGCTGCGTGCAGGGATGCAGGGCATGTTCTGGAAGCTGTGGCAAGTCCAGAGCTCCCCTCCTTCCCCAGGGATGGCCTCTGGGTTTGGAATCAAGGACCAGGGTGCAGCTGTCTCCTGTGGGCTGTGAGCCCCTCTGGGAAGAGAGGATTCCCATCTCCTCCCCTGTTCCCACCATCCCTGTGCCATGGGGATCGTTTTCCTCAATGTTCCCAGCAGACCCCAGCCAGGGCAGGGCTGTGGGGTGCAGAGCCTGTGCTTGGCTGCCTTTGGCAGGGGATGGGTTCTTCCCCTGCTGGTTTGGCTGCTTCTGGATGTTGTCTAGAACTGCCTGGAGTTTTTGATTTTTATTAATTTTTGAGATGTGAGCATTCTCCAGAACTCTTAGGGGCAATGTTTTGGTCAGGAGGAAGCATCTAGAAAAGGTTTTTGAAGTCCAGTATGGGATTTCTGAGCCAAAGCATTCCTGGCATGCAGAAGGGGAAGGTTTTGGTACCTTCCCTGTGCAGTGGGGACACAGAGTGTGCTGGGCCCCCTTCCCTGGGCTGCTGCCATGGTTGCCACCATCCCCACAACCTTCCAGGGTGTCTCCTGGCACGTGATGTCTTTGTGGCCAGAAGGGGTGTCTGGCTCATCTGAAGTCACTGCAGCATAGAATGGGGAAAGTCCTCTTCTACCCCCCAGGCAGCTGAGCTCCCTGTTAAGCTCTGGGTGATGACCTTGGTCCTGGTGAGGAGCTGGATCCCTCCCTGATTTACAGAATTACATTAAGGCTTTCTGCTGGCAGCACTGAGCCCTTGTCCCGCGAGGGATTCTGGCATCACTCTGGGCGCCCTGCCTGCCTTCCCCTCACTCCAGCACTGCTGGGGACTTCTGCTTTCCTACAGGAGGCTTCCAGACACACACAGACCAGTCAGGTGCCTGACTAATTCTGTCCCTAACAGAAGAAATCTTTCCCATAACTAATTAGGGTTTCTAAATTGGGAAGCTGCTGCGAATGACCTGTCGGTTAAAGGGCAGGGGGTGGGCTTGGCTCGTCCCAGCCTTGCTCCAAGCTTCCTGCTCAGACTCACAGGCATCACTGGAGTGTCCTTTGCCTTAATTCTCTTTGGCTGTGCACTTGGGCTATTTCCCTGCTGCCTTGGGCCGATGGGGAGCGCGTGTGCGCGAGGCAGTGGGCTCAGTGCAGGCTCCGCGCAGAGCGGCGTGGGCGGCTGTGAGGCCTGGGTGTAGTAGACTTTCATGCGGTGCCTGTCACTTGGAGGTCTGAGCTGAGCCTGAAGTTCCCTCTGCCAAAGGAGAAACACAAAACAGTGGCAGTCCCTGGGTGCTGGGAGCTCCTGCGCAGGGAAACTTGTGCAGCCACAAATACCTGACTCTCACACGGTGCCTGAAAATGTGCTGGCGCTGGGGCTGTGACAGCGATGGCTGCGAGGCTCATTGTTCTCATTAGAGCAGTCGGTGGCTCTGAGTCAGCAGGTTTGGGTTTGTCACAGCCTGTGCAGGTCTGTGGTGCTGAGCAGTGGGGCTGGCCCTGACCCTGCTGCAGGGGGATGTGGGGTTTGAGCCCGGACACAAAGGCACTGTGAGCTTGTGCTGTCTGTTGAGCCTGGAATGAGCTGTGTCTGTGCGAGCTGAAGGACAGCCTCCCTTGGGAACCCCTTCCAGCTCCTACCCTGTTCCATTCAGGGCTGTAAAGCTGAGCATCACTGCTGCTGGCCAGACTTCCTGGTCTGGTCCTTCATCATCCTCTTGTCTGGACTACGGGAGATGGAAAGCATGGTGGGAGGAGGCTGTCTGCTGAGGACATGTTGCAGGGCTTCCCTGTGGCTGCAGATCCAGCCTTCCTCTCCTTCCAGCCCTTGAGAGAAAGCTTGTGGGTTGTCCAGGACCTACGTGTCTTCAAGTGAAGAAGGGGAAATCTGGGCAGCTGTGTTTTCCAGTGTGGAAGCAGCTGCAGCTGCAGCTCTCCTGTCCACACAACGTGTCCCTGGTGCAAAGCAGGGTGCTGGGCCCAGGCCCCATGGATGTCCCTTGTCTTGGATGGCAGCTGCTCCCCCTGCCCTGCCTTGCTCCAAGGGGATGAACTGCCTGGGGATGTGTGGAGCCGTAGAATCATGGGTTTGAGTTGGAAGTGCCATGGGCAGGGACACCTTTCACTATCCCAGGTTGTTCCAAGTGCTGTCCAGCCTGCCCTTGGACACTTCCAGGGATCCAGGGGCAGCCACAGCTGCTCTGGACACCCTGTGCCAGAGCCTCAGCACCCTCACAGGGAAGGATCTTTCCCTAATATCCAATCCTAAGAGCTGTTGGGCTGAAGTTTGGTATGACTGGGACAAGAGTCAAGGTTTGCTCTCCTTGCACTGGGCAGGGAGTGGTGGGACTGTGTGGATTGGGACAGACAGCCCAGAGCCCTGGATAGGTGATTTGGTGCAAATTCTCGTGTCCACTTGTCCCAGTTCACAGCTGAGGGGGCTCTGGATGCAGCTCAGAGTTGTCAGTGTCCTGACTGCTGTGTGCACATCTCCGAGCCCACTCATGCACCCTCCCCAGGAATGGGAGCAGCACACAGAGCCTTAAAATCTGGATGGTAAATCTCTGGAAGAGATTTTCTTTCCGTCTCCTGCTGCTGGTGTGTGTCCTGCCCTCGGCAGGGCACTCCTGGCTCCCTGGGGGCTCAGCAGTGCCCCAGGTCAGGTCTGTCCCAGGCAGGAGCTGCTCAGCACCCTGGGCTGGCAGGATCACAGCGCCAGGGCCACGCTGGCCTGACCCTATTGTGCTCAGAACACGAGACAAATGAGGCTGGAGCTGCAGATCTGTGGCTGCCAGCAGGTCAGCATTTTCAGTCGGGCACTTGGCCTCTTTGTGGTGGTGCAGTGTCGGGATCTGCTCCATCCCCCTTTCAGTGCCCAGCCTGCTCCCCACCGGCTGTAGCTGGACCCTGGGACCACCAGGTTGGCTCCTGCTGTCCCTGAGCCCTGCTGGGGTCCTCGGCCAGGAGATGGGGTGGGAAGCAGGAGCAGGTGCTGCGCCAGTGTAAAGCGCATCCTGCGTCTGAGGGGATGCTGAATGAGGATTCACAGCCCAGCCCTGCTGCCAGGTTCCTCCCACCGGCTCCTTCCTCCCTCTGCTCCTACTAACCCACTGCCGGGGCCCCTCGCTGCCTGGCAGCAGCAGAGATGTCTGCTGGTATCCTTCCCCGAGCATCAGATGGAGAGGAAAACACAGGGTGGAGTCAGCTCTCGCACAAAGGAAATGTTGAGGTATCGTTTCTGCCTTCGGTGCGTTTTTTAGATGGCTGGGGAGAGATTAAACAGGATCTTAACACATTCACAGCCCCCTTCCCACCTCATTTTCCTGTGAATCTGTTGCTGTCATGGTATCTTTTGGATGATATTTTTAGGTTTGCCTTTTCCTTTTTTTTTTTTCCCCTCCTCTCCTCGTATCAGGCTTTTGAAGGGAAACACGTTCCTATGGGAGAACAGAATGAGCCATTTCACGAGACATTTTGTTATGGGCAGAAGGGCCGGGAAATCTGATTGTGTGTTTGAAATGACACATTCCCCTTTGTAATCAGCTCATCGAGCTGCCTGGGGTGAGTGCCAGCAGCGAGCTGTCCTGGCTGGGGGCAGGGGATGGAGCAGCCCCTTGCATCCTCCCCCGGCACCTCTCCATCCCCAGGCAGCCACACATGAAGGGCCTGGGGGTCCTGCAGGCTTTTCTCTCCAAGATCCCGTGGGAAGCAGTGCTGTGTGCTTGAGGGAAGCAGCTGGGTGTTTCCTCAGGTGCTCTCTGGATCCGGAGTGTCTGTGCTGGCAGGAGCCCCGCGGAGTGCGGGGTGTCGTGACACCTGACAGAGCTCTGGGCTCAGGGATGCTCAGGGAGGTGGGAAGGGTGGTTGGACAGCTGGGGCTGCTGCTCACTGTGGGGAGGTGCCATTTTTGACAAGGATACAGACTAATGTTACATGGTGATGGTGAACTTTGGCAGGGGAAAATTCAGCCTGAATTCTCAGCAGTATTTCCCTTTAGGAGATTTACTCAAGTCCTGATAGTTGAAGGTCCTGTGGAGTGAACTGGCCAGAGCAAGAGAAGCCTCCTGTGAGGGCTGATCTGGCTTGGATCTGCACATCCCTGTGTGGTAACGCTGTTACCTCTGCAAATTCCCTGGGGCTGTTCTTCAGTGAACCAAGAAATGCTTCCTGCTGGTAGGGCATGGTGGCCATGGGAAGGTGACATCTCTGGAAGTGTCCAAGGCCAGCCCAGATGGGACTTGGAGCATCCTGTTCTAGTGGAAGGTGTCCCTGCCCATGGCAGGGGGTGGAACGAGATGGGCTTTGAGGTCTCTTCCAACCCAAACCATTCTGGGACTCTATGGGAGGAGTAAATTCCTGCTCATCACCTTGGTCTGCTGTAAGATCTGTCTGTAAGAAATGCAGCTGACTTGGGGAGACCAAGGGAGGATGTAGAGAAGGTGCAGCTGCCCATGCTGTGTTTTGGGGACAGGGTCACTCTCAGCCCTCCTGGCCACCTCCACGCTCCTGACAGAGCTTTGGAGCTCAGTCCCACCCCGTGGCCATGGTGGTGTGGCCCATGGACTCCTCTGTGTCTCCTGGGCTCCTCTCCAGCTGCATTCCCTGCCCTGTGTGTGCTCCTGCTCTGCTGGAGGGGACACAGTGAGTCCTTGTCCCTTGGTCAGACCCATCAGCAGGTTTGCAAGCTGCTGGGTTAAATCTGAGTGAGCTGGAGCAGAGCTTGGCTCCTTCCAAAGCCCCACCAGAGGTGCCTTCATCCGTGTGCCAGCACATCCCAGTGCCTGTCCCCAGGCAGCTGTCAGGGCCAGGCTGGCTGGCTGCAGTGACAATGAGGTGGTGACAGTGTGGGTCACTGTGGGATGTTTGTGAGCCCGGGGCAGTGTCTGGGGGTGAGATGCTGTCCACTGGTGTGGCAGGAGCTCAGGGCACAGTCTGGGCTGGGCTGCTGCTCTGGGGAGCTGCTGTTTGTGTTCAGAAGGGAGCAGGGTTGGAGGAGGCCTCGCTCCCACTGCCGGTGTTCTCAGAACACCTCCCTGATCCGATCCTGATTGATGCAGTGTCTCACATCCCGAAATGGCCACGGCTCAGAGCCTGCACAGTGTTCCCAGTGGCCACAGGGCAGGGGATGGTCTGAGGCTCATGGGGAGTGCAGGGCCTTTGTTTGGCAGTGTCAGCACAGGGAGATCAGGGAGTGCCCAGTGCCACTGCCCTGCCTGTGGTGGCTGCACCTCCATCCTCCCCCGCAGCAGGAACAGGGTGCAGCCCTGGGAGCCCCGACTGCTGGGGCCACTGCTGCCATTCTCCTCCTTCGGGGTCTGTGGAAAGCTGCCTGCTCTTGACCTGTCTGCCCATCTCTGCCAGGCATCTGTCAACCCCTCCTGAGCTGGGATGAGAGAAATCCGAGCACACAAACCTGTAAGCAGCTCAGAGTACCCACAGAAATCACTGGGCTCAACAGAGAATAAGCAGGGCCACAGAAACTGTGCCAAAGGGGGAGAGAATCCCACAGACCCCCTGTGTGACCTGTGTCTGCTGCTGGAGTCCAGCCCATGGATCAGCTCAGCCTGTTGGGACACCCATGTGTCCTGCTGGAGAGACAGAACCCTTCTCACAGGTCTCTAGGTCTGCTCTGACTCGTGAGCCTCTGAGCAGGGGCATCTCTGTGAGCAGAGGAGGCAGGCAAAGGAGAGGGAGGTTTGTCTGGGATGGAGTGGTGTGTGTACTGGTATGGGACAGCAGCCCCCACACACCAGTGGCACCCCTGAGCCTGTGGACAGTCACACTGGGACACACATCCAGCTCCAGTGCCCTGTGACAGTGGCCCTGTGGTGGCTGTGGGTGCCACCAGCACTGGGGCTGGGCCCTGGGTGGCCACCCAGCCCTGCTCCCCACACACCCTAGGACAGCTGAGCCAGTAAAACCACATGGCTGGGAAGGAACCTGTGCCTGCTGGACAGGGGTGTATGGGAGTGCACCCAGGAGCAGCACATGGTGACATCCCCAGGGTGGCAGACACAGGACAGACGCAGGTGGCAGCTGCAACCCCCTCCTCTTCACCTTAGCTCTCCTGCAGATCTGCTGCTGAAAGGTGGGATTCTTTCTGTGGAGGTGCTTTATTGTGTCAGGTTTTCTGGCTGGCTCGCTGTGGGTCGGGGCTGCTCAGGGCAGGCTGTGGGCTGCACACAGCTGATGTTTGCTTGTGGAGACTGAAAGGATTTTGCTGATTCCATGGGAGAGGTGAGAGCTTTGCATAGGCCTGCTTTGCTTCTGCCTAGGGGGAGGCTGGGCCTTACCTGTCCAAGGATGTTTGAAAATTAACCCTTGGAAAAGTGGGAGGTATCCCTGCTGTGCCAGACCGTGCTTCCTCCCCCGTGATGCTGTAGTGCCACTGGGCAGATTCTTCTCCCTCATGAGGTGCAGCTGTCACATAAGAAGAGGCTCTGAACACGCTGTTGCAGGCTGGGGGTGTCCCTGCTCACTGCTGGTTTCCTCCTGCCGTGCTGGAGCTGCCATGGCCGGGGCTGGCTCGGGGGTCCCACAGCCAAAGCCCTGCAAGCAGCTGCTGGCCTTCATCCACGGCATGGCTGACAAAGGGGGGGCACAGATGGCCTGAAAGGAGACCTTGGGCCGTGCCCAGGGGATCCTGTGGCACTCAGAGGTGTGTGGGCTCCGTGGCATTGCTGTAGTAAATATTTGCTGTTCTCCAGGAAGGAGCGGGGCTGGCTGCACATCAGGAGAGCAAAACGACGTCTAAAGCAATCCACAGCTCCAGTTTCCAGCAGGGAGATTTGTATGGAATTCAAACACAGCACTGGAGCCAAGCAGGCCCCCTCTGGTGACAGCTGTAGCTATCCTCCCGAGTGCTTGCCATCGTCTCTGGGAAGGACTTTTCCCTTCTTTTTAACCAAATCTGATTTCTTCTTTGCAGGTTGTAAATCGTGCCCAAGCCGAGCACTGAGAGCAGCCACTGGAAGCAGCGTGAGTTTATCCTGAAAGCTTTTGTTCTCCTTTCCACATCCCACATGAGGTTGAGTGGGTTTTGCAGCACAGAAAAGGTTGCTCAGCACAGAGGGGTGCTGCAGCGAGAGGAACTCCTGGGAATCTGGCCTGCTCCCACCAAAACACTGAACTGCTGGCCTTGGGCTTGTTGTGGCTTTCTTTGTGTTGGGATTGCTTCCTGGTTTAGCTGGGACTGGGACAGGAGCCCCTCTGCCAGCAGAAAGGCTCCTGCAGGAGCTGCCCCAGTCCCTGTGCTCTGATGGAGCGGGTTTGGGGTGGCACACTCAGCTTCCCCACGCTGTCTTTCCGTGGCCTCTGTTGTGTGGAGGGTCTGGGGGAAGGATGTGTTTGCAAACCAGCTGGGGTGTTTTGCTGGCTGTGGATCCCTGCCAGGGCTCAGGTCACTGGGCTCACAGGCTGGGCACAACTGGACTGAGGTGCATCCCAGGAAGGCTGGCATGGCCAGGCAGATGGGAGCAAAGCATGGCAGAGGTCTGAGCTACAGAATTCAATTGCTGTGATGCTTGAAAGAGTCAAGGGCTTGTGTTCGAGGCCTTTTCAGGGACATCAGGGTCCCTCCAGCTGGTTGGACTGCTCCATTCCAGAGCCCCGCTGCACAGCACAGCTGCATCTATGTGAAACCAGATGTGAGCTGCTTCCAGCAGCTGGTGAGGGCTCAGGGTGGCTGGGGGGATGAGGTCCTGCTTCTGCTTTGGCTCCCTCACCTGCAGAGTGAGGTGAACCTGGGCAGAGCTGCAGCATGACCCTCACCCTGGGCTGAGGTGGCATGTCCTTATGTGAAAATTGGGATGAGGAGCTCCATAGCTGCACCCCGTTGTCCTGGCTCTTTGCCAGGTGACTGAAGTGTGTGGCATTGTGCACCACAGGCCTCAGACCCTGCTGCCCATGGGGTTTGGCTCCTGCCCACACAAGGCAATGGATTCAGGTTCTTCATCCAGAGGTTCCACACCCAGAGGTGCTGGCACTGCCCAGGCTCCCCAGGGAATGGTCAGAGCCCCAAGGCTGCCAGAGCTCCAGAAGCATTTGGAAAACACTCCTAGGAACGAGGTGGGATTGTTGGGGTGTCTTTTGCAGGGCCAGGGGTTGGATTGGATGTTCCTTGTGGGTCCCTTCCTGCTCAGGATATTCCATGAGTCTGTGGGCAGGGGATCTGAGTCCCTGCTGAGGAATGTGATGAGATGCTCTGATGGGCTCCTCAGGGCTGGATCTGGCTCTGGCTCACAGCAGGGCAGGTCTCCGTGTTCTGTGGGCAGTTTCTCACCAGCCCTCCTCCTCCAGGCACTTTTCAAGATGCCAACTGCACCCGTGCCCTGGCTCTGTAGGGAGAGCCAGGGGAATGGTGAGGATTGTTTTCCTGCCTTTGTGTGCTCAGCAGTTTGGGAGGGGGGTGACCAATCTAGAGTTGCTGAGGCAGAGCTGCAGGCCCAGTGTCAGTGCTGGATTTCCTGTGTGCTCCTGCATGGCCTTGGTGTCCCCTGAGGGTGGGGTCAGGGTGCCCTGGGCTCTGTGCTGGGCTCTGTACCTGGGTACCCACGGGAAGTGCTCTGTCCTGGGCAATGCCAGGGAAGCTCTGCTGCTGGATGGGGTGCAGATCCCTCTTGGGGTCCCCCGTGCTGGGGTGGCACGAGCAGCAGGAGGACACGTGCCATCCCCATGGTGACCCCTGGTGCCCAGCCAGCCCCTTGCCCTTGATGGTGGCTTTGGTGGCCCAGGCACAGCTGGGGGCCCTGGCCCACCGTTCCTCCTTGTGTCTCGTGGTGCTGGGTCTCTCAGAGCTGCTCTGTGTCCCTGCACTCCAGGAGGGCTCTCCCAGCCTGTGCCTGTCCCCTGCAGGTCCCAGCTCCCCCACAGGTCTGGGCAAGCAGATCCCTGCCAGCACAGCCTGGGCCAGCTGCTGCTGTGTGCCCAGGGAGGTGTCCCCCTGCTTCAGGAGCCCTGCTGACACTTGGGTTGTGGCACAGGGATTGTGCTGGCAATGAGCTTCTCCTGTCTCTGGATTCCAGCACCTCCTGGGTAGGGTTCCTGCCTGCTGGGGTTGGGTGGGGACAGGTTCTGTGGGAGCCTGCTCAAAGGACATGGTCATCCACCTGATGGTCACTGTAGGTCCCTTCCAAATGAACTACCCCTTCCTCCTCAAAGTGGTGCACAAGGTGTCACCATTACCTTGGGGAAAATGACACTTTGGCACCACTTTCAATGCTGACAGGGCCCTTGTGGGGCTGCAGAGCAGAGGATGATGATGGTGGGGAGAGTATTTGGCCCTTCCTTTGGACAGAAGGAGAAGATGGGAGAAGGCAGGGCTGAGCCTGTGCCAGGACTGGGCTCCTTTTGGGGGCTTCCCTTGCTCTGGGTACAGTTCCCCTCCTTGAGCTCCTCTCTTCTTCCAGCCTACCGCTTCCCAGGGTGTTTGGCCCTGTGTTCTTGCCCAGGGAGCAGCTGATCTCCCCTGGCTGCCCCATCCCAGCACAAGGCAGCTGAGCCCGTGATCTCTGCCTTCCTCTGGGGGCAGGAAGAAGGATAGGAGCAGCTCTCTGCCTTCCCTGGCAGGGGAAGAACATTCCCTGCCGAGGGGTGTTCCACAACACCCCTGGAGAGCAGCCCAGGTGCTTTGCTGGTGCTCCACAGCGGGCTGTGGCATCTGAACTGGGCTCCCAGGGCACTGGCTGCTGCATCACAGCCTTTAGTTCATCCTCCCTCCCCTGCTGCCCCAGAGCATTCCCGGGCTCTGGTGCCATCCCTGGGTCGGGGCTGGAGCAGGAGGGGAGGGGTGGCTGCGGTGCTGGTGGTGCTGGTCCCTGCCTGGGCTGACTTGGCTGTGGCACCTCTTGGACAGTCAGTCCCCACCCCAGAGAGCACAGGGGGGTCAGGAGGGCAGGGCCAGCTCCTAGCACGGCTCCTCTGTCCCCCAGGCAGAGCCCCGGGGCTGTCAGGGTGTGGCACTGAGGGTTCACTCCCATAGCTCTGCTCACAGAGAGTTTTTAATGCCTGCAAGGCTCAGGTGAGCACAGAGCACCTCTGAGGTGCCCCCTCAACACCCTGCGCAGGGTTAGGTCCCTGGAGGAGGAATTGGCCCAGGGCAATGCACAGATCCCCTTTGGCCTTAGAAAAGCTGTTGGGCTGTTATACAGAGTAGCTGGGGGGAGGAGGATGTTCTGTGCTCCCTACCTTGCAATCCTCACTGCAGCAGGACCCCAGCAGGGCTGGCACAGCCCTGGCACAGCCCTGGCACAGCCAGGGAGAGCTGGCAGTGCCACTGGCAGGTACCAGGGCACTGCCCTGCCTGTCCCTGTCCTGCCCTGGGGCTGCTGCTGCACTTTCCTCTTGATTTGGGGCCCATCCTGGCTGCAAGACATGCCTTGGTCAACGAGCCTTGCTCTGTGCCATCCCAGCTGCTTGGGCTGAGCAAACAGGTTTGTGGTATGTGGCAATGTGGGCCCTGAAGGCTGGGGGAGCTGCCAGCTCCCTCAAACTCCTGGGGAAGGCTGGCTGCTGGCCAAACCCCTGCTTGCCTTGGCTGAGCTTTAACCTCTTGTGCATCACAGCCCTCGGGAGCTGGGCTGCCCCCGTGCCTGGGGCAGGCTGAGGTGCCCACCCATGTCTGATCCCTGTGCCCAGCTGGTGGAGCCTCCTTTGCCCAGAGCCACGCTGGGATCCTGCCCCTCCTTTGGCATGCAGGGCTGTGTGCTCAGGCAGCAGGAGCTGGGGCTCTCCTGGGGAGATGCAGCTTTGCTGCTCTGATGGCCCCGTGCTCACCCAAGCCCTCGGCAGGTGATGGGGAGCTCTGTTCCCACCTGATGTCCCCTCCCCACTCCTCCTGGCCAAGGCTTTGAAGGGCTGGGCTGGGCTCCTGCCTTGCTGCACTGGGGATCCCTGTGGGGCTGGGTGGAGAGGAAGAGCTGTCTGCTCTCAGATCCCTGCCCAGGAGGATTTGCCACCTGGGACTAGTGTTTGAACAGCTTTTCTGGCACAGCAGGGCCCAAGGGATGTGGAGCTGTGGGCAGCATCTGAGCAGGCCCAGTGTGGGCTGGGGATCTGCAGGACTTTCTCCCAGGGGAACAGCAGAAGCTGGACCGTGTTCCACGGAAGCACCTGCCCTGGTGCAAGTGTGCTCTGGGGCATCATCTTCCACCTCTCTGGCTTCTTCCAGCCCTTTTCCCACACAGCCCTTGCTGTTCTTTCCTTTATGGTGGGACCTGCTGTGCAGCAGGCAGGACAATTGGTGGGATGCTGGAGGGTTGGTGGGGCACTGGAGGGAGCTCTGCACTCTGGAGAAGCTTTCAGAGCCTCAGGCCGCTGTGCTTGCTGGATGCAGTGGGAGGCTGGGTCTCGTTGCCACTGGTGTCACCTGTCCAGCTCCTGTGTATTGTCATTCCACCTGCTCCACAGGTCCCACCTTCCTCCAGCCAAAATCCCAGTGGTGCCCATCTGATCAGTGATCCAGGCACTGGTGTGGGGTCAGCTGAGCTGGGTGGGAGCGACACCCTTCCCATCCCTCACCACGAGGTTGTGCTTCACGGTGGATTTGGGATGGCAAACGGGGGCTGGATGAATTGTGGAGGATGAGGGAAGGAGAGGGCTGCCCTAATCCTGCTCTGGATTCAGCTCGGCTTTTGTGCACAAGCCTGCTCAGCTGCAAGTGAGAAGGTAGCCGGGTTGCCGGGGAGACAGAGCCGTGGGATGTGGTGGATGCTGCAGCCGGGGAGGATTGTGTAACCCCTTTGCTGCCACCAGGGACAGCCCCAGTGACAGTCCCTGAGCAGGGGACAGTGCTGAGCTGTGTGTACCAAGAGGCCTTGGTGCTGTGAGCACCCTCCTCAGTGGCTGCCCTGGGTGGTGCCCTGAGGTCAGGGCTGGCTGGGAAGAGTCGGGTGGCTGTGGGTGCTCCTGGCATGGAGCAGGGCCCACGCTCCAGAGGCATCTCCAGGAATGTCCCCCGTGCCACCCCAGCAGGTGGCCTT